TTTAAAGAAAAAGGAGCACTTTTTATTTATCCTAGCACCAGCGACACAGTACAGTTGGAGTTTGTAAGGCTGTGTAACTCGCTTAAAATTTTGACAGACTTTTATAGAAAGGACAATTACAAAGTAAATGATTTATGGGTGTGGATCAGGAATGAGGAAATCCTTTGTTTCCCTTTGCTTGAGGATAGAGAAGATTCCCAGGAATTTACAGTCCTTTGTCAGCTAATTTCAGCATTTAATTTGGATTACATCTGTCAAAGTTTGCAGAGGGGAACAATGGTTAACATATCAATCAGGTCACGCAGGAAGATGGCGCATACAGAACAGTGTGATGGCACTACAGTTGTTTTACAACAATGTGGTTGGTGCCCCAGGGTGTCTGGTTGTAGAAAATAGTTGTGTTTGCAAAGGGAATTAACAAGTAATTTGATCATATAACTTGGGCATTGGCAAACATAACACAGGATGATGAAGCTCTTTTTGTTAGTGTGCAGCAGTTGACCATTCAGATTTATTTTTGTTTGAGACGTGACTTCCCTATGTAGTGTAGTTCAGGTGGCTTTGAATTTGCTAAGTTGCCCAAATTAGCCTCAGAGTCATGGAGATTGTTTTGCCCCAGGCTCTTACGTGCTGGGATTATAGATCTACAGCACCATACCCAGCCTCCAGTCAGATTTAATGCATAATTATTTGCTACATTATAAGAATAGCAGCCAGCTATTTAAAGGTTGACTCATACTCTTTCTTTAGTTGAAGAACATCACATATTCCATCAGTGGTGACATTTCACAACTTTCTATTTGCTGTCCTTCTTAAACTGTGGCCCAGGCCTTTCTGTCTGCAGTGTGGTTCTTCTTGAAAAATTGCCTACAGTCCAGATACAGTTACAGTCAGAGCTAATAGGATGTTGGTCTTTGATTTGCTATTTTACTCAGGGTCTTCAGCATTTTCCCAAGCTAGAAATTTAGAATACCTATAACTTTAAATATTCCTTTGTCCCTGGTCCAGTTTGCCATCAACTGCCATTCCTACCATGGAAATGTCTTGGATTTGACCCCATCTCCGGTATGGTTACTACTCTGACGTAGTCTCTGACTTGCACATTTTTGCGTTATTGACAAGGTTTTCTCCAATTCTGATCTTCCTCTTTTAGTCATCGTCAGTAACAGTCAAATCATCATTATAATCCCTCACCCCAGGCCTAAGACATTGAGTGCAGAGTCTTTTTTTTTTAACTTTTTTTTTTTTTAACTTTTTATCGGTACCAGGGATTGAACTCACGACTACCTGCTTGCAAGGCAGGTGCTTATGCCGCTGAGCTAAATCCCCAGCCCCTGAGTGCAGAGTCTTGCACATTTTAGACAGGTGCTTCACTGAGCTCCTAGCTCAAATCTTGAAGTCTGGCTTTCTAAACATTTCATCCCCACTCAGAAGTTTGAAAGCCAAATCCACATTGCCTTTATCTCTGAGTTTTCTTTTCTAACAAGAATATTCTTCTTCTTCTTCTTTTTTTTTTTTAAACCGGTACCAGGGATCGAACTCGCGAGCAGGCACTTGTAAGGCAGGCACTTATGCCGCTGAGCTAAAGTCCCAGCCCCAAGAATATTCTTCTTAATACATCATTATTTCATAGTCAGGACGTTCTCCTCAGTTCCCTGTTCCCTGTTTACACGGGAATAACAACCACACTGTAGATTCCTGCCCACGGGACTTTGCTCCCTCTCTTCTCTAGCTGTGACTCTTGGTCCCACCTTCGCCTGTTTCACTTCATCATTCCAAATCCCAGCTTTTAGGGCCCAGGTTCCTGCCTTTTTTTTTTTTTTTTTTAAACATTCTTGATAATTTCTTTTTCTGAGTGTTGTCATATCTACTTCTGTCTTTTTTTATCTATTAATATTTCACAATTGGACCAATTCCTTTAAATCTGTTTTTGGGAGAATCTGTCAATTTGATTTTTTGCTTTCCATTTTCCTTCATCTAGAGCTATGCTGTTTATTATATAGAATAGACATAATTACATCTTCTTTGCAGAATCAGTCTGTCTCTCTCTGTCTTTCTTTGTCTCCCTTTCTCTCCTCTCTTACAGGAGTTGAACTCACAACTTTACACTTGCCAGGCAGGTGCCGTGTCACTGAGCTGTATCTCCAGCCCACTACATTTTTTTTTTAACTCTAATATTTCTGATTCATCCTTTTTTTATTATTTGTGGTTTTGGTTTTATATTCATAATGTCTTTTGTTTGTTATGCTTATTTTCAAGTTCTTAGTCTGTTTTAGTAAAATGCCTTTTTTTTTTTTTTTGTTTTTTGAGTTTTTTTGAGTACATGGGATTGAACTCACACTTGCCAGGTAGGTACTGTACCACTGAGCTATATCCCTGGCCGTAGTAGTATGCTTTTTAAAATTGATACTATGTTATCTTGTTTGCTGATTTTTGTATATTCCTTATATTTTCATGTCGACTCTAAATTATATCTTAAAGGAAAATGGAATCATGAAATTTACTTTGGGTCAGATAGGTGTGGGTTTAAGACTTGATTTGGTTACTTACTAACTTTTGGACCATAAGTAAATCAGTCTTGCTATGCTATATTATCATTATCTATAATTTTTTTTTTGGTGATATAGGAGATTGAACCTAGAGGCACTCTATCACTGAACTGCATCTCCGGTCTCCTCCATCCTCATTTTAAATGTATTTATATTTTAATACATTCTTGCTAGGTTACCTAGACAGGACTTGAACTTTCTGTTCTTTTTTTGCCTCAGCTTCTTAAAGTGTTGAGATTACAGGTGTATACCCATGGTGCCCTACATCTATTAATTTTAAATAATTATGTGTGTGCTTACGTGCATCCTCACACGTACACCTTTTAATGAGAGTACAACAAGGCAGTATTTGGTGTAATGTACAGGTTCAGGGTTTGTTACGTGAACTCAGAAACTCCACTGATAGGGTTTTAAAGTTGGAGTTTATTTTATGATAGTGTCTTGAAGTTTATTTTTGTTTTTTCCATATAAGAAGTCTAGAAGTAGTTCAGGCTACTTTGGAAACCTCATGTTCTTCTGGAACCCAATTCTGTTTTTCTTTTCTGTCACTAGTACATGATTTCTGTGTCAAGGTGGAGATTGCTGCATACACTGAAGGGTGTTGAAGCTTCTTGAGTTATTGCTGTATTCCATAAGGCACAAGGAAGAAGACGCTAAGGGGAAAGGCCTGAGGCCTGCCTTCCGGACAGTTTGCACTCTTTTAACTTTTATGTATCTCATAATCCTTGTTGCTTATATCTGATTGGTCAGCACTTAATACATGACCATACCTTGCTAAGGGGAGACTGGGTAATTTCTTCTGTTGGGTGTATTGCTGCACAAAATGAAATCAAGTGTTTTTCCTTAGCAGAAGAGGAGGACAACGAATATTGAATGACTACTGGCAGGTAGAGTTTAGTGCCTGGCTCATTGTAGGGCTTAACAAAAATATCTTTTTACCTCCTTCTTCATGTTGAATTAGGATCAGTATATTTTGTAATTCTTCTTTGGTTCATCTGAATCTTGTTTTTCCAGCTGTAGAAAAATTTGTTGGGGAGAAGATACCATACTACTTTGTTGTGTTTTAAAACACTTGACATAGTGCCTAGTAGTTGAACCATGTAGCAAGAATTCAGTTGGTATTTTTTAATTAATTGATTTTATTTTTCACTAAAGCATACTTATTTTAACCTCTCATTGAATTTCCACTTCCCCACCCCATGTCGGTAGTTAATATTTTTCTTTCAACTGAAAGCCAGGAGCATTTGTGAGGATATACTGAAGATTTTCATTCCTTTAAAAATTTCCTGTTTTCTTATGCCTTAAAAATTGCCCTATGGACTGATAAGGTAACATTTCATAATTTTTAATTTTTTTCTTTTTGATACTGGGAATCGAACTCAGGACCTCATGCTTAATCAGGCATACACTTTGGCCCTTTTTGTTGTTGTTTTTTCCTTTTTTAAAATAATTTTTGGATTACTGTATTTAAAATATTTTTGTGTTCACTTAGTGCTTTAGGATGAAGTCCCTAAATTGAACCTAAAAAGTAATATTTACAGGTATATTTTGTATATTATAGATACTACTTTCTCATATGCCTGTTCATTATATATATATGGATGAAGTTTTAAAAATACTGTTTGAAAAGCCTCAGAAAATGATTTTTTGTGCATATTTAATTCATTAGCTTTGTTTTATAAGGAAGCTCAATAGTTTGAAGAAATGCTTAGATCATATTTGTTTGTCAAGTTGTCCTGTTCCCCCAGCCCAAATGTGGAAGAAAAGAGGGGAATAAGTACAATATAAACTTTGCATTAAGATAAAGAAATAGTAATATAACTGGCCATCTGGCTGGCTAGACTTTATATAAAATAGGGTTCTATTGTGTCAGTGTCTTGTATGTAATCTTCTAAATTCTGCTTTGGAACTCACTAAATTCAGTATTTTAAACATTTATTTGTGCTTCTGTCAGATTTACCCCTTTACAGGTATACAATTACATTAGTACCTGAATATACAAATAGAATATAATTTCTTTAATCATTAATTGTCACCAGTATGCTAAATATTCATATACTCAGACATGCATATGTCTCATATCATAGATATAAAGAGGTAAAAATATGCTACTAAAAATGATTATTGGAATACAACAAGACATACATGAATCAATTAAAGTTATTAAGTCATATATACTCAGAAAGAGTAGATAAGTGGACATACGTGAAAAGGTTATTTGATGTGGTGTTTCAGTATAAAGTTAAGTGCATGAAATCCAGAGGCCTTGTTGTCAAAGTAACTACACAGTCTTAATGATAATAGTTTTAGTATTAGCTAAAAATCATAATAACTTCATAGTACTTTTTTAATGATTTTTTTTTACTGGTTACAGATAACAGAACCATTTATTTAAAAAAAAAAACTTGATATTTTCTTATACTTTGACTTTATTTGGTTTTGTTCTCATAGATGTTTTCTCCCAGATGTCAGATTCCAATGGCTTACTGATATTTAGCAAGTTTGACCAGTTTCTGAAGGAAGTTCTGAAGCTCCCCACAGCTGTCTTTGAAGGGCCATCTTTTGGTTACACAGAGCATTCAGTCCGCACCTGTTTTCCACAGCAGGTAAGGACAGTTTGATAGGATCCAGCTCCAGGGGCCTCATTTATTTCTCTACCTTCTAACAGATTTTACCAGATCACTTCCAGTCTAGGATATAAAGTCTTGCGTAGGGGAGGAATAAAGAGCTTCGGGGAGGGGGTGGGTGGATGGAGAATGGGGGGGGGATAAAAATTCACCTGAGAACTCTTTTGTTAGGGAAGGGGGATGCATTTTCTAATAAAAAAATAAAGAGGTATTATTGCATGTTGCTACTGGATGTATAATATCTTACCAAGTAAGTCTTTGAACTGTCAAATACAGGAATTTTGACATAAAACTATAGCAATATTGGGTCATTCTTTCCCAAACACCAGAGACACAGAATACTGTACCACTCTCAGCTGCCAGCATAAAATCTTTCAGATTGTGCTGTCACTTTTGTGGCAGAAGATGGGTTTGGTTTCCTTTTGTGGTTCTCATCTAGAATTTGGTTTGAGAATACTGAGATCTTAATAATACAAAATGTAGCATTGATTTGTTAAGGTAGAGGTTAGGTCAGAAAAGCTTAAGGCTATACTTACAAATGGAAAGTGTATTCTCAGAAGATAGTTACTAGTCACTAAAGGAAGCAGCAATTTACAGTTGGATAAGCCTATTTGACATTGCATTGTCACCAATAAAGAAATACACTGACACATGGATGCACTGAGAAGTACAGTATCCTTTTTCTAGTCCTCTTGCATCTTGGGGACTGACATACAAACCTAGAATTTCTGTACTCTGACTGGATTGTACACTTAAAACATGTCAGTGTTATGAAACACATAGCCAGTGACTATCGAGGAATGCTCAGACTCGATGAGTATAAAGTGATGTGGATAGTGAATGCAACTTACTGTCCACAGGTTTTTACTTGGGACACAACTGAGACAAATGGAAAACTTGAAGCTAAATACGAGTATGTTCTGTCAGTGAATGTTAATTCCTTGATTTTAATATTTGTGTTTAGTTAATGACAGAGATTGCCTTGAATTTTAAGAAATTCATTCTGAAGTCTTCAGGGGTAAAACCACTTTACCCTGCAGTGTTGTTACAACAGTCTGGGTTACCAGAAAATGGTATTTGTTTGGTAATCTTTTCCAGTATTCCTAGAAGTCTGAGTTTATGTAAAAATAAAATATTAAAATATGCAAAGAAGTAATCTGCAAACCTGTGATACTTCGATTCAAAACTGTGTATGTAACATACATAAATGCCTTTTTATATTTAAAGTTAAGAATTCATACTTATCCAAGTGCAGACTTTAGCAGTTTATAGTTTGTTTCCATCACTCAGCGTTTGCACTGAAAGTGGCACCCATAACAACAGAGACATTTTTATAAACAAAGTAACTTCTGAGATGTTCCTCCAAGATTCATGCACACTTCAGCTGATTGGTTTTATGTACATTTTTGTATTAGTCCACTACTTTTTCTCTTATTTCTTAGCATAAATGACAGTATCAGCTTTTAGCACATTAAAAATATCTTCATCCTTCAGTTTATTCTAATAAAACCTAGCTTGCAGTTTCCTCCTGAGTATGTTTCAAATGTAAGGCTGTCCACACTTACCCTGGAACAGGAGTGTCCTGTAGGTATACCCTGCAGTGATGCCAGTGAGGACCAGCTTGTCAGAGGAGCCCCGCTGGCTCTTCTGCTCCTTCTGCTGCTGCTCTCTTATAGTGGTGTCAGTAACCCAGACAGTTGCCACACAGCACTGTAGGGTGACCTGATCGATGATACACACATGGCTCTTCACACACGACGTGTGCCGGAGGTCAGGCTGGATGCTGTTAGGATCTCAGGATGCTGCTCTTTAGTCAGAAAGTGTCCAGAAGGACGTGGGAAATACCAGTGAAGAACAGCGTCTGACAAGTGGATGACAGTTCTGAGGGTTCTAAACCTAACCTTTGATTTAATGTGAATCTGAGAAAAGTGATAAGAATTTCATGCTGAAATACCAGTTTGAAATATTGAGGACATTTTAAAAATTATATTTTTTAATTCTAAGAATCCAGTGTAGGAATTTGGGGGGGAGTGGCATTGTAGGTAAACCTAGGACCTTCAACATGCCGTACAGCAGCTCCACCCCTGGTTTACACAGCCTCAGGCTCCTGTAGGATTCTTCAGGTTCCCTATGGCGTGCATGGTTGCCAGGCTTTTCAACTCATAACCCAGGTGTTGCTTTTTGCCTGCTTTAGATTCCTATTTAAAAAAAAAAAATCTGTCTGCATTTTGAAATACATCAGATTTAGAAAAATTTGACAAGTTCTTCTCAGTCTAGAGAAACTTAAGTTTTCCTCGGTTCTTAAAGAAGCCTCAGAAGAAATGGAAACTACTGATGGAATGACCAAAAAGGAACAGGAGGGCTGAGGGAGGAGGGGGAAGAGAGGCTCTCTGGACAGCATGCCGAAACTTAATGGGTTTTGGTTTCTCTTGGAAACCGCCTCTCCCCCCTCGCACTATTGGTTCCTTGCAGCAAGTTTCTTGAATGCACTTTTCTTCTGGCTCATCTGCCATTAGACAGCAGCACACCAAAGCGAGGTGGAGATTGCACTGTTGGTTCTCGGGCAGTTTTCCTCCTTACATTAATGTTCAGGATGAACAGAGACTCTGGGATGATCACAGTTAAAGAGAAAGTACAGATACCTTAAGACAGAACTAGAAGTCCTAGAGCACCTTCCTTTAGGGAAGGAATTGGTTGGTTCATTTTCTGCAGCATCTCTACTGTGATGATGAATCTGTGGCTGTGGGTAAAAGATCTATGCAAACATCTGCCTCCATGCTAAAACAGTTGATTAATGAGGTTATCTGCGGATCAGATAATTAGTTTTGATAAAACTGCTTCATGCTGAAAATTGCATTGCCTTTCTCACCAAGAGGGAAACAAGTGTCAGTGTTTAAGGCTGAAGGGTATCTTCTGGCAGTGCCTCTTGGAAGTGCCCGTGGAGATTTCATCGTGCTGATATCAGTGTGTGAGTGTTTTTGTTTGGTCCATTTACAGAGCTGCTTAGGTTTTTAGTGGTTGTTCCAAGCTTGTTTTCCTCATGTAACTTGTTCTTAAATGCATAGTTTTATAATATGTATAGTTCTCCAGTAATATATGTGTTGCAGACCTCAGAAATGATATTTTAAAAAATGGTATGAAGAGAATTATTATACATGTTGGTTTATTCTAGTATAGTTTTAATTCTTTTTCAAAACATACTTGTTTATGTTTTTATAACTTACCCAAAATAAGTCTGTGGATGGATATGATACAGTATTATGGGTGCATCTTACGTGACTGCCATGGTCTTGAAGCTTAACTGCCGGGATTGCCCTTAGTAGACCTACCTGATTTTTATGCACAGTTCTTCACCAGAGTGTAAGTAGATAAAACCAGTAGAGGCACAGGCGGGGCTTTCCAGGCTGATCCTGGTTCCTGTATACTCCTGATTCTGATGTAGTTTTACATAAATGAGGACCATTCCAGCCAGAATACAGTCCTGTTTGTACTGGCCTATAAATACAAGCCTCTTTCTAACCCAAAGTGTAGTGACTCATCTGTTCTTGCTGCCCAGGACCATCCTACTGCAGTAATTCCCTCAAGAAATTGTGCTTTATGTAGTCCTAGATCTGTCTGCCTCATTGTCTTTGGTCTCCCACCAGCACCTTGGGGTTGGTACCTGTACACTAGGACTGAGTTGTTGTGAAACATTAGTAGTTTTTAAAAAGCAAGGAAATTTAAAAACTTTTATAAATTAATTCGACAGAACCCAGTGATTAAAATATGTACAATTCAGCAGCTGATACCAAATGTGGGTGAAGATTTGAAGTAACTAGAATTCTTACACAAACCATTTTGGAAGAAACCCTAGTGGTTTCTTATAAATCTAAATAAAACTCAACTGTGGCTTAGCTGCTTCAGTCCCTTCTCCTCCCCTTCCTTCGCTTCCCTTTCTCTTCCTCACTCCTTCCTTGTATTGGGGATCAAATTGATTACATCTGGGATTTACTTCAAAGTGATTGCAGTTGGCGCCGAGAGAAATAAACCCTTATAGTCCCAGCACTTTGGGAGGCTGAGGCAAGAGAATCACAAGCTTAAACCCGTCTTGAGCAATTTAGACCCTGTCTCAAAATAAAAAATAAACAGGGCCTTGTAACTTAGTGCTAAACCGTTGGATTTAATCCTCAGGACTCTCCTCCCCCTCAAAAAAAGTAGTTGGAGAGAGTTTAAAAGCACAAATGAAATAAAATTATTCAGGTTGAGGATTTTTGCAGCTAGCGGGTGTTATACTATTGTGTCTACTTTGGTATATTTTAAATTTTTCAATGACTGAAAAAATTCTAGCTGTAAATTAATGATACAATTGTGTGAACATACTGCAGTGCTAATTAGAACACTGCAAGTCTAGCCCAATATTTTGGTGAGTAGACCAGGTGTATTATTTGTCAGAGTTTATAAACTAACAAACTCACTTCAGAAATTTAAAGGTTAATAAAAATAAGTAGTAAATATATTTCAATTTCTCTCATTTTTCTGCAGACTTCAGAGTTTTGGGTAAGGGTTGTGTTTTTTGCTTGAAAGATGGTTTGCCTTGTTTTATTACTTAGTTTCTAAGGACTTGTATTTAACTTAGTTTAAATAGTCCAGCCAACCCTCAGGGGAACTTTAGATTCGGTGTCTGTTGGATGAAAGGCAGATCTGAGCAAGCAGAGGGGAAGGAGAGGAAGGAGAGTGGGTAGGGAAGTAGATGGATCCTTCCAGGCAGTGTTTGCAGGAGGCAGTGCTTTCCTAGATGCCGGGCTGCACACTCCTTGAGTCACAGAGGAGGCACAAAGAGGTGGGACAGGACTGTATTGTTGCTGGTTGGTTGTAGAATCCCGGGAATATTTCATGCCTGGAGATGCCCTCTAATTACACCGACCAACTGGTCCTCTCTTGCTATCTGCCAGAGTGACTTTTCTTTCCACTTTGAGACATTTTATCAATGTTGCTTTCTT